TCTACACAGCCGGAAGTTATTTCAACATTATGTCAAATTACTGTCAAGCTGGAGGACTTCTTACTCCAACTCCTGTAACCCTCATTTTATGAGGAGTAATGGAAGTCGGAGGAAGAGTGCTCTACTTCAAAGTGAGCACCAAAAATCAAAATAAGCCATTACAAAATAAGCTATGCAATTGACATAACTCAATTTGTGTCGATTATTTCAAGTTAAGCCCTGCTGTGTAGATGCACTCCATGAATTTATCTAGTGCTTTCTTGAACTCTGTTATGGTCTTGAACTTCACAACATCCTCTGGCAAGGAGTTCCACAGATTGACTGTGTGTTGTGTGAAGAAACACTTCCTTTTGTTTGTTGCCCATTGAGTGGATGTTTTCAGAGAACTATCAACAATGACTCCGAGATCTCTCTCTGGAGTGGTAACAGCTAATTTAATCCCCATAATTTTATACATGTATGTGGAATTATGTTTTCCAATGTGCATTACTTCACATTTATCAATACTGAACTTCAACTGCTGGTTTGTTATCCAGTCACCTAGTTTTGTGAGATGCTTTTGAAGCTCTTTGCAGTCTTCTTTGGACTTAACTATCTTGAGGAGTTTTGTGTCCTCTGCAAATTTTGCCACCTCCGTTTTCCCCTTTCACTAGATCCTTCATTGAACAGGGCTGATCCCAGTACAGATCTCTGGAGGACATCCCTCTCCATTCTGAAAACTGACCATTTATTCCTACCCTTTGTTTTCTGTCTTTTAACCAGTTACCAATCCATCAGAAGCCCTTCCCTCTTAACCCATAACAGAATTATGAGATCGGGGCTGTTAGCTCGTGGACTTGGCTTTGACACAATGGAGTGACCCCAAAGTCAAATCCCCACCCCCCATGGCTACACCTGGGGTAGACGATCTGAGTGGGGGTAGGGGAGAAAACTCCCCCAAAGCTCTTAGCGTCCTCCCGCTGGGGATGTCCAGTGTGAGGCTGGATCCTACCAGTTGGATGGTACCTGTCACAGCTCCCTGTTGACCATAAGGAAACTGGCTGATGGCGTATGTTGCATTCTCGTCCTTTTCCCTGCCTCGGGACGGAGTTGCTGTGCACTGCCAGCTGCTTCTCGTGAGTGTTATGGGACATGGTGCCTTCAGTTCCCCTGGGGTTCAAGTCCTACCCTGTACCTTGGGGTTCAGGTCCCAGACACTGGATTTTTTGCTTCTTACTTGCATGTAGGGCCTCTGCACCCTGCAGTGCCAAGCAGCCATGCTGAGCCAGTCACTGCTCATGTCAGGGCAGGCCCACTGCCGGCCCATCCGACGGGCCGCACTGGCAGAGTGGGCTGCATGCAGGAGGAGCAGGAGCTAATGTGGGTAATGAACGTGCTGCCAGACAAAGCCGCTCCCGCAGCGGGGAGCACTGGCAAGCTCATTATTATTTAATAGCATGATTGATGAGCTCGAAAATAGAAGCGGGCATCCGGCGAGGCCAGTAACGAGCTGCTCACCTTTCATTGTGGCACGAGCCAGTGACGGGCTGGGCAGAATGCACAGTAGTGCGCCCTGGAGGGGAGAGAGGCAGCACGAGGCTGCTACTTGTGCAGTGGCTAGAAGGTCCCAGTGGGTCCTGGTGTGCGTGCCCTGGGCACCGGGAGAATCACTCTGCTCTGCCCCTTGTGTGCTTGCACTAGTGTCAGGGCTGCACGCAGGCTCTGTTGTCCTCCCTGAGAGTGCAAATTGCATCCCCATCAGGCTCTGAGCAGGGTGATCCACTCCCCACCCCACGCTGTGTCTCGCTCCCCAATAGCACGCCGGGCCCCTGGGTGTTACAGCTGCAATAGCCAGCAGCCAGGGCTCTGGGCTGAGCCCCTTGCCAGGCATCTGGCTCTGAAAAGGAGGGGATGAAAAATCCTGGCCATCAGGATCTGGAACCTGGTGCTGCTCCAGCAGCTTAAACAGGTGGAACTGGTCAGAATCCCTGCTGTACAGGGGTCCCCCCAGCCTGTGCACCAGCCCCGTTCCCAGCCCTTGCCATCCGGGGCAGGCAGGGCAGGCAGCGGGCATGGGGGCAGGGCACCACTGCTGTGATCTGCTTCCCAGGGCCCCAGGCAGCCCTGAAGCTGCACTGACTGACGCCATGGCCCGGCAGGTCCCCCACGGCTCCAGAGTGGTGCGTCTGAGCCTCAGCCCCTGCCCCGGCCAAGGAGATGGCCCCTTGTGTCTGCCCAGAGCCCTGCCTAGCTCAGAGCAGACAGTCACCTCCCCGGCAGCTCCCTGACACAGCGCCTGCCGTTCCAGCCTTCGGTAGCGTGGCTACGGCCTGGGCGTGGGGCTCAGGACTCCTGGGTTCAATGCTGGGTCTGCGCGTGGCCTTGGCCAAGCTCGTCACTGGCTCTGGGCCTCAGCCCAGTCTGTGGGTGCCCGAGGGCACCGGCTGCCTCCCACTAGGGGCTCTTCCTTTCAGCCAAGGGGGGAGGGAGCTTTGGCCAGCCCCATGTGTCTGTGCAGCCCCAGTCCAGCTCCAGCAGATGTAAAACAAACATTCTGTGACGGGCTCCCCCGGCTGACTCCAGCCAGGGAGCTGGATGGTGCCAGATGGGTGGCTGGAGCCCCCTAAGTTCCACTGGTCAGCCCCAAGGCCTGCTCCTCCCCTCACTGCCCCCTGCTGCTTTGCCTGGGCTCTGCCCTGCCAGGACCAGCCCTTTCTGGCTGGGGGGGTTCTTGC